TTTTAAGGAATTCATTGTTAAATTTCCTTTAAAAATTTCCGGTACCTACAGAAAAGCTTATTTGGAATTTGTTTTACTCAAATTAAGTATCACGCAGTGATAATTCAAATGTTTTTTCCCAAAATAAATTTCATAATAATACAATAGATTATAACAGATAACCTAAATTCTTTATAAATAACCAACCTAATAAATACTCGTATGGTGTTCATGTGAAAACTAACCAGGAAGTTGTCTGGTCCTGACACGATGGCCAGAAATAAAAGCTCAATTGCTACTAACCAATTAGTGGTCGAAGTACCAAAGTATTGGATATTAATAGCTTATAAATTCCTTAAAATGTTGGTCTTTGCTAAATTATGTATTTATGTATTTTACATATATAGTTTTATTTAAAATATATTATTTATAAGAATATATTATTATTTGTTATAGAAAATATAATATTAAAACTGGGCTCGATGTTGAATTTTTTATTATTATTTGCGAATATGAATTTTAAAAATATACATAATAATAAAAATGTACAGTTTCAATTTACAAAACATGCAATATTTTTATTTTATAGTTTTTAACAATATTCCAGTATTTACAAATAACTAAAAATCCTTAGTATTCTTTGTTTTAACATTATACGTATTATATTTAAATGGGTTTTTAAATATTAACCAGATTCTATGTTATTCCAGGTCCACATAACTTTATGTTAAGTTTACAATCAACTGTAATCTGTTAACTAATTGAATTAGTAGTTTGTATTTATAACAAACATTTTGTGGATTTAATAACAAAATCTATGTCCATAATTATTGTAACTTTTAAAAAGGTCGTTTTTTACAAACCTTTTTGTTGACCCAGTAACAAAAGTATTTGCTGGAAATTGGGAACTTAAATGAAAAGAATTTTGATAAGAATATCTTGCTTTATTAATCAATTTCATAACAAAAAAAATAACACATATATGTTATTTTTGTGTTCATTTATGTAGGTATACCTACATAAATAAACACAAAAATAACACACCATTCTAAAATCATCAAATTATAAAAAAAATTGGTACAATATAATTATCAGTACTACTACAACACATACACTGTTCAAAATTGCATGACCATTTTAACACAAAATTAACACCATACATGGTCTATATCGATAAAACCAAAATGGTGTTAAATATGATTCGTTGGTCCGGTGTAAATTCAAATACTAAAATAGTGTAAATTTAACTTTCACACAGTATTAAAATAAATTTTACCTGGTGTAAATTGAACTCCTTTTCAGTGTTAAATATTATGTGTTTGTTGTTAAATTAAATCATACTACACAGAATTAAGGAAAAAAAAAGAAACAGGAAGTTCCTTGACGCATTACTAGTATATTAGCAGTGGTATTATTCCAGAAAATGGAACCTTCAACTCGCCTTCAAGTATTGACAGCTGTTTTCACCTATTTAAGGTCTCTTTAGTATCGAACAACTTGTAGTGTCACACCAAAGCAAAGGACTACCTGAGCTTATATATTCTTCATGTAGTCAACAGAAGCGAGATTTAAGAACATCACGTGATCTACGCCGCCTTTGCCGCGATCGGTACACACTATGCAACAGGGAATGCACGGCAAATTGTTTTAATCGTTTTAACAGAGTGCTTTAGGTTGGAGTAACTCTTATATTACAAACAACATATTTAGTAAAGTGAACCATACAGCGGGTTGGTTTCACTAAAGTTTTATGGGTTAATTTAACCAATTAAAAAAAAATAACTATCTGGTTTAGTACCGTCAGACTAATCTTTATTTATATTAACCTTCCCACAGTTGATAAAAATAAAAAAATACAAAAATAAATACTTATGGGTCAACTAAATTAATATAGTTAAATGAACTATTCCTTTTTTTCGGTGTAGGTGCACTTCTCAAATATTTTTAGATAAACACCGTTTTGGTGTTTGCTGTATATAATTTCAATCATAATTCATGGTGTTTATACTAACACCACTTGGTGTTGGATTTTGACACCATTTTAAGATTACTCTTTACACCACAGATATTTTAAACAGTGTTCAGATGTATTTCGTAAATTTAACCAACTTCACTGTATCCCCTAATTTTAGTTTGAAAACCAGTGATGGCATCTTTTTTCGGATACTTCGCACAAACTCGTTAAATAGGTTGCAGACGCTGAAGTCAGTTCAACTTGTTGATGCGTATTGTCAGTGGCAAATATTTTGATTGAATGCCTGAAATCACATGTACTTTTTCAACGAAATAATTTGTTAAACATTAACAAAATAATCTGTAACCTTTAAAATTAACAAAATGCTTACAAAATTGCATATTATCTAAACGGGTCATTTTCAAGAAACACCGGCTTTCAGGAAAATGAAGATTAAAATATTTTTTTGCTTAAATTGACTTTTGGTTGGATTTTTATAAATGTTTAGAGTTTTGTTTACTTACATTTAAGACAGGCAACCAATTTGAAATCCAAAATTTAATTCAATAAAAAAGTTGTAATAAAAATAATTTGAAATAAAATGTTCTTAGTTCACAAACTTTTGACTCCAATTTTTTATTTTATTTTTTAATAAAAATTTTATGCTTTTTTTTAAATATGTATGTTCGTTAAGTTACTTTTTAAAAGAAACCATTCCGATTCTTTGTTAAAAAAACAATACCATTAATATTTTCTTTTATAAAAGTCACTGTATTAGTGAATTAAACTCTAATTTATAAACAATTATTACCAAGTGATAGTGTATAAAAATTATTTTAAGTATTTTTTTAACAAAAACTAAAAAAAAAATAGAAATTGGTATCACAACGGACAGGGGTACACAAAGAACTTAATCAGATAACGTAAAAAAGAAACTATATAGGGTGGTACGATTTTAGAGTAATGCATAAACAAAATCCCTTGCAGAATAACAACTTAGATTTCTAAATTGTAGACACCCTTTTTCTTTGACTATAAGCTGGTGAAGGTCCCTTTTAGTACTTTTATATTGCGTGGAATTTTTCCTTGGATGTAATCTATATCATGAGTTGTAATTACAAATAATTTTAAATTGGTTAATCATAAACTACTTTTAATAAAAGCGACGGTAAATATCCACTTTATTGTCGAAAAATTCTATTGCGTTACCCTAAATTCCATTGCTTTACCATAAGGTAACATAGTGGACTCGGTAAAGCAGTGGACAAAGTTTTGTAAAACCATATTTAAAAAATATTAATAAGACATTATAGTCATTAATTACTTTCAATGAGCTTTAGTGCCCTAAAATAAACATAAACATGAAAAATAGTTTTTTTTCTTACCTTATTTTTATTATTTTTTTGAGTAACTTAGCGGACAAACAATTATTACATTCGCGTTACCCGCACCTGTTTCAACCGATATCTTCTTCCTGATTGAATAAATAAATTCAGATGGGTAATGTTTTTTTTAATATTCTATCGGTAACGCGACGGACGTAACGCAACGGAAAAAATGTCTGAGACATGAGGCAAATTTAAAAAAAGTAGATTAAAATTAATTATTTTATATATAAATTGTTTACTGCATTAACTAAGGATGTTATGGATTGCTATAAAGCAACACAAAGTTCTGGTTATTCAATATTAAAAAAACATGTATGTAAGTTTTATAAAACGCTAATGGGACATGCAAAAATGTGTGTTTCACAAGTTTCAAAATTAAAAAAAAAAATTATTCTGAAATAACTAAACAAAAATTTTCTGAAAGAGTCCGAGATCCGATAATTTTTAACAAAGTTATTGGAATTCAAACTTACGGACAGCGGAAGGCGGGTGTTTTTTGAAAACGACCCAAATACAAACTTATGTTAACATTAACAAATTTGATTTTTATAACAGTGTATTTCTAAAATCTCCTTTCTTTACACTATTCTTACATGATAGATCTATGTTTGCTTGGACATAACATTATTTTAAACATTTGGTGGAAAATTATTAAATTAAATATAGGGGAAGGTGGGGGAATTCTGCGCATCTAAGCAAAATAGTATCTTTGTTAAGTTTAAATGTGAAATTTTGCAACTAATACCAGCAATAGTCTACTATGTTTACTATGTGTATATAATGCGCAATTTATAAAAAAAAATTGTTTAGTATGCAAAAACTACATTTTTTTAAATAATGCATTTGCGCAAAATTACCCACCTATCAGGGTAATTTTGCGCATCATGGGGGGAAAATTTGCGCTGTATAGAGAAAGATTTGTAGGTATCTAAATAAACCGTTTATTTCTATAATATTATTATAATAAAACATAAAAATAAAACAAAACTATTTTCTCTATGAAACAAACAAAACAAACAAGATCAAAAATAAATAACTAAAAATAAAATTTTTGTTCTTAGAAATAAGAGGGTCTACATGCAGCAGTTGTCACATATGTAGTTTTAGGGGTTGTTTTTTACGCTACACTCCGCGTGTGCCCAAATGGAACTGTTTATGATGAACAATCTAGGCTCCTGTACCAAAAACTCATATTGGTCAAATTTTGCAGCGCAAAATTACCCCAATTTGTCAGCGTAAAATTACCCCCATTGCAAGAAAAATATTGTGATACTAAAAAACATTCCAAAAGTTAACCTGAACAATTTAAACATACACCAGATTACGAGGAAAGATCATATAAAGTTGTGTTATAAACATTTAAGCGATTGGACAGAAATTTAAACTTAACTCGTAGCGGAAACGACATGGATTTCTTAGATCAACGTACATGTATCACAGTTAGCTAGTGACCATGGTCACTAGCTAAAAGCTACAAGCTTAATTGCGGTACACTTTAGTCCCCGTATACTCAAAGCAACGTTTCCAAGTTTGCAACATTCAAAAAATGTATTATTTACTTCATATCTGGAAGAATTGTTTATGCGTAAAATTACCCACCGCGCAAAATTCCCCCACCTTCTCCTAATATTGTATTTTTATTTTGCAGACCAACAAACCCCATGTCGGTCCGCTACCAGTCGCTGGACCGCGGCCCCACGGTGGACCACGAGCGCGAGTTCCTTCCGATCCGCGACCGCCGCGACCGCTCCCTCGACCGCGGCCTCTACTTCGACGACGAGCCGTACGGCTCGCGATCGGCGCGCCAGTCGCCCACCTCGCACCAGCCCTTCCTGGGCGAGCTGCAGCACCAGAACAGCGACCTGCAGCGCGAGCTGGGCAACCTGAAGAAGGAGCTGGAGCTGACCAACCAGAAGCTCGGCTCCTCCATGCACTCCATCAAGACCTTCTGGAGTCCGGAGCTGAAGAAGGAGCGCGCGTTGAGGAAGGAGGAGTCGGCCAAGTACAGTTTGATTAATGATCAGTTGAAGTTGCTTAGCAGTGAAAATCAGGTAAATATTATTTTTAACCAAATTTTCTAAACCTGTTTATATGAACAAAGCTTAAAGATTACTTACTTTATCAGTTAAGTAAGCAAGCATTATGGGTATAATAGACCCAAATTAACCTTTTATATTTTAAATTTTAATATGTTTCAAATAATTTAATATTTGACCCTAAACAGAGGTCTTTTTTGTAAGTTTTTATAAAGTCGTTATAAACAATCCACTAAAACATACACATTCCATTAAGGATTTAAATTGTTTAATTTCGACACAAAAATTTCAAAAGTTTTGGGTATTTTTCAGGAATTAAACTATTAAAAAGTATTTTATGCGAAATCGGCAGTAAAGTAAAAGAAATCGGCAGTAAAGTAGAACTTTACTGCCGATTTAATACGAGTATTGTATGCAACCCATTATACATTTTAAGATGTGTCTACTGCTACTCAGCAGCAAATAAATAATATTTAAAAAAGCACCGTCGCGGAGGTCGATTGGACCCTTTCATAAAATGTTGTTTAATAAAAATAATAAGTTAATTTTATTAATTAGATTAAAAAATCGCCGCGACTGGCAAATATATAATAACCGTCGTAACAAACAGTATACGTAGACACTTCCTACATTCAAATGACATTTGATTTGATCATCAAATGACATTTGATTTAATCATCAAATGACATTTGATTTAATCATCAAATGACAATCATCAATATTAATTACACTATGTAACAAAATTTGATTTTTGTTTTGTTTATTGGATATTTTTTTAAAAATTATCAATATTTGTGTACCAAAAAACTATTCTAAATTAATTTAAAAAATGTAGTGATAAGTTTTTATTTTCTTAAGGGGTATTTATATAATATAATCAAACCCAGTTTTATCAAAAACAAAAGAAAATGTTGACAAGAAATGGCAAGAAATTCAACTCGGAATTAGTATTTTAACAAAACATACAATCTAGAAAAATATTTTCTTAACATAGATTTTAAATCTTGGCTCAAAAATGAATTTTAATACGACTTTTTCTTTTATATGATGCATTTTCTTCCCCAAGTAGATTCCAAACATAGTCAACCCACGGTTCGCCAAAAAATTAAAATTGCCGAAAAAATTGTCCAAACTTATTTTTTGTTCTAAACAATTTTTTAATCATTTTTATGATAATAAAAAATTAAATCAAAATTTTTCAACGATTATTTTTTATTTTATTGACAAAATATTGAATTTAACAATAAATCCTAAGAAAATCCTAATTTTATTTTAAATATGACTACTGTTATAGAAAGTAACAGCTTCTAATAATTTCTTTGAAAAATTATGGTTATTTTCATGCACTTTGAACCTATTCCATACTATAGTGAAATCAGAATGAACTGATTCGCTGGCCTGTTCACTATAAAATCCCAAACCTTTGTTTGTTCTTTGACAAAATTCCTTAACGTGAAAAAATACGGTATGTATTTTAGGAGTTGGCTTAAAACCCAATTTATTGAATGATAATTTAAAATTATCCAGTTTCTCTTTATAATCAGGACACAAATTCACTTTAAAAGCGCTTTTTGTAACTTCTTTAAAATCTTCAAAGCAAGTAACATTTAACCAAATTCAAAGGTAAATTATTCTCTAGATATTCCAAATTATTCAATAATTTTTTACAGGAATTTCCTGTCAAGGACCCTCCATGCATTCCTTCTCTTTCAACGTGACAAAAATTTATCCATTGATTGCAAATGTCTGGAACAAGTTTTAAAAGACTGGAATATAAGGTATTTACGGTGCCTAAAAAACAAAAATTGTGAGGGATAGAAAAACATTTTAAACTGCACCTAGTAACCTATTAAAGTATAAAAAAGTAAATAAATAAGCGGGACAAATAGTAATTACCCAAGAGTAAGTGCAATTCAGGTGGGGGTATCACCAAGATCACAGGTTCTCCTAATTTTTTAGGTATAGGTTCATGAATGCAATTAAAAAAATGCTTTGCTTTCTTCAGGCTGCTTCCACTTGCCGTCCATCTCAAATATTGGTTTCGGATGTTCTCGAACGTGCGCAAATCTCCCTCGTTTAGGTTTTGTGCATTGGATTGACACCATGTACAGGGAGCTGTGAGACATCAGGCCCATCAAAATATTTGCCAATTTTAAATCTGTTGAAATACTGTAACTTCCTAGTTCATCAATTTTTAGCAGTTTCCAAATATATAAAACATTAAAATAGTTTTCTTTGATGTTTTTAACAATGGCCAAAATAAAAAGTTTTTTTACTCCAGAGTCTTTAAGGTCCCCACGGTTAGTAGTTTTTTTTGTCTGAATATTCAGACATACTTTAAAAAAGCCACCTCCTCCATCGAGGCCAATTTTTAAGAGTTCAACATTTTTTTGTGTTAAGTTTCTTTTCTGAACAATAAAATCCAAAAACGCCAAAATGTCTTTACAAAAAATAATGTCTCTCTGAACAGATTCGTGCTTGTTTTCTTGACCATTTTCTAATTCTGCCGTCATCTTGTCAAATAATGTATCTAATACATGCCTCTTTTCTTGTAATTTTGTCTTTACATAGCTCTCAGTTATTTTTTTATTAGTTTTTGATTTTAATTTCTGTAAACAAGACGCTAATTTAATTGTATTGTTTGTACTTAGGTTTAAAGTTCTTTGCATTTTTGAGATATCTTCTATAGTTACAGCATTGTTTTGAACAGTTGGGACTTTTTTATTTGATGCAATAATGTTCAATTTTCCCTTATTTCCAGTTTCCAATTGAACACATGAGTTGGGAACACTATTTTCAACTTTTTCCTTAATGATAGTTGAAACAAATTTTTCTTTAAATTTTGGAGAATTTGATAAACTAGCAACTTGTGCAAAATTTTGTGTTCGTAAGCTCTTGCGGCAATCATGAGATTTTCCTTTTTTTACAGTAACAAAGCAATTTTACAGATTTGAATATTTGTATTTTTTTTCCTGGAAAACAGTTTGTTTATTAACCTTCCGGCGGGCGCACATCTTTTGTGCACGAGTTCGGGCGCAGTGATCTGACAGATTCAATTTTCAGATAGGCTTAGTAAAGTGCTTTTTTATATTTTTTATCAAATAAATAATTAACACTACTTTTTATAATACTATATACTAACTTATTAAATACTATACATAAATAAAATGCGCAAATAAAATCAAATATAACTAATTTTTTGCACTTTATTTAGAAAGCCATCTTCGTTTTTGAGGTGGTTGTTCTTCTTCTTGCTGAACTATCATATTATAAATTTAAGTAAAAATGCATACAAAAAGTTATAAATCAATACTTTCGTTCATAAAAAGTTAAAATTTTGTAAATATTACATGTAATACTGCAGTATAACGCAATCGGGCGCACTGTATCTAGAAGATCAAAATGCCTGCCGTCACCTTACAAGGCGATCAAACACAAACTGCAGTAGACATATCGGTAGAAGTCCTAAAAATATGAAGCTACTGAAGGGTGGGTAGTTATGCCTATAAAAACAGTGCGTCCGTGTGCAATATTTTAACTGGTGTATCTCTTAGATCGGTTGCGCCCGCCGGAAGGTTAAAGGCCGCCCAACTCGTTTTTTAAGTGAATATCTGGCTGTGCTGTTTAAATTTGTTTTTGCAATGGAGCACAGGGTACAAAAACAATTAATTATTAGGTTGGAACGAGTACGGGGATAGGTGTTAATCTTTGAATAATCAAAAAGCTTTACTTTTCTCTTAAAATTACCTTTGGCGTATTCTTCAACGGTGAGACGACATGTAGAACACAAGCTAATAGGGTAATCCACTTCGTTTACTGAGTACTGTTTTATAAAATGTATCTTTATTGTTTCTTCTTGCTTCAATGACATTTTTCGCATTTTTTTTGTACGATTAAAACATAACGCACATATTGCAGCCCTGTTTTCGTTGTGGAATCGCATTTTAAAAAAATATTTGCAAAACTTGTTTTGGACAATAATGACAAACAATGACAGATCATGACACAGTTGTTTACATAGCAACTATGTAGGTATATACTGTTTAAACCAATACCTAGGACCAATAGATTCAGAGAAATTCTAATGTTACGTATCAAAAATACATTTTTGATGATAAAAAGGAAACCAATCGTCAGAAAATTTTAATTTCATTTTTAATTATCATAAAAATGTCTAAAAAATTGTTTAAAACAAAAAATAAGTTTGGACAATTTTTTCGGCAATTTTCATTTTTTGGCGAACCGTGAACCATCATTGTCGCATCCCACCTTCCTTGTTATCACTTTTCCATTGCCCGAATTTCTTGATGGAATCTTTCTTCATGTTCTTCGCTGACATCTCCCAGATTTTCACGGAAAAGGTCAAGATGCGAATGCAAATACTGTGTACTTTCAACGACATACAGCATTCCATTTATTTTAAACTTCCTAATAAAACTTTGACAAGGTCAGTATAATTTTCTCTTTTGTGGTTACCAAGGAAACTTTTCATTTAAAATGTCACGTTAACTTTTGAGTTTAAAAAATATGTATTATAATCCAAATTTTGTTTAAAACAAAATATTCATTTTTTTACATGTTGTCCACAAAGAAAGTTTAATGGCCAAAATCTTACGTGGGGGATAGTGGGGGGGTCTACCACATTTCAACAAATCTCACCAAGGGGGAGGGAGGGGTCTAAATTATCAGAAAAATGCCTCACGTAATTAAAGGATGTCCCCTAATGACACTCAAAGCCATCAACACAATCTGACGGCTGTCGTTGAAAATTTGACAGTTTGAAAAAACAAAAGTATGTTACGTAATCGGGGGCATGGCCTACTACGATTTGTGTTATAAAATCCAGATAAACAAATATCATGTTACATAGTGTTATTAGTATTATTAAATGTGATTTCGGATAAAATTTAATATACATCTCGGCATTAAAGTCATTTTTTATCATTCACGTGGTTATTATACAAGGTGCCCCTAAACTTATTGGCATAAATTTAGGAAAAGATTGAGCAAGTCAA